TTTAATTAAGGTGCCAAATTAAGCTTAATTTACTCGAAATTTCAGGGGAATAGGGCAAGGACATTAAAAGTACATTTATATTAATGACGTCATAAAAATAAAAATAAAGCACATAGTTGAGGAATTTGTCCTTTGTTGCTTGTTATCATGCAAGAAAGAATTTTGTTTCTGAATATATAGGAAAGTTCTAAGAAACATTAATATATCGGTGATGGTGATTTTATGTTCATTTAAGAATTAGGGTTTTCCAATAATTATATGTGATAAATTCAATTAAATAAATACTAATGTCTAATGAGCGTTAAAAAAAAATTTGAGCCCTAATTGTTTCGAAAAAAACGGAGTTCTAGAAAACCGTCTCCTTCGCCTACCCTAAGATTCGGTTTTGTCCATAAAACATCATTTAGAATAACATATTACATATTATTAATCCAGCTATAGTTATTATATATAACATAGTATATAACTTAGATATATTAAGATGTTGTACGGACATAGTCGAAAACTCGAGACCTTATTTGAATTGTGCAATAATCTCAAATACCCGAACGGTTCCATCAACCGAAACGGAGACTAGAAAATCTCCTTCACAAGTTCTTTTAATCGACTGAATTGCACCACAGTGTCCACTCAATGTATTTTCACAAACCCCCGACAAAATATATTCCATATCCGTATTTTTCCGTCAACACATCCAGTGGCTATATGTAACGCATGCTCGTGTTCGGCGGCTGGCCGACGGTAACCTTCAGGTCATTCTATGAATAGGCCACACCTACCTTATATGTTAAATACCAAACTTAAATAATCCCCTTTTAGTGAATTTAAAACAAAAAAATTAATAAAATAAAATAAAGTAATAAAAGTAATATGTTTAAAATATGATAATCGATATTCATGCATGCATCTTATTTAATAATTAATATATTTAATGGTTAAATATATAGGAAACTATCTGTACATAAGGAATCATACTTTCCTATTTATCATCGATTTTCCTCTCCTTAATCTAAATATGTTTGGAATGTGTGATTGACAAAATAAAAAAATTCCTTGATATTGAATAAAGATTTTAAGGGAATAAGAAAATTCCTCGATATTCATGATGCATGCATCTTATTTAATAATTAATATATTTAATGGTTAAATATATAGGAAACTATCTATACTTAAGGAATCATAATTTCCACAAGTTTTGAACATTGTTAATTTATCGTCGATTTTTACTCTCCATAATCTAAATATGTTTGGAACGTGTGATTGACACAATAAAAAATTTCCATGATATTGAATAAAGATTTAAGGGAATTGCATGTATTAGTAGTAGGCTATGTGCATCAATAAATAT